TAAAGGTCTGGTAGAATTCAGCTGTGAGCCCATCTGGTCCAGGGTTTTTATTTGATGGAAGACTACTGTTGCTTCAATCTCATTACATGTTATAGATCTGTTTAAGTGGTGTTTATCCTTTTGGATCAATTTTGTAGGTCATTAGCCTTTAGAAATGTATTCATTTGTTTTAGATTTTCCAGTTTTTTTCGAATATAAGTTTTCAAAATATCTCCTAATGTTTCTCTGAACCATTTCCCCCTTTTCATCTTTTATTTTATATTTTTCTTATTTTATTAATTTGAGTCTTCTCACTATTTATTTCTTTTGGTGACTTTGGCTGAGGGTTCACCAATATGGTTTATCTTCTCAAAGAACTAACTGTGTTTCATTGATTCTTTGTATCATTCTTCTCATCTTCAGCTCATTAATTCTGCCCTCATCTTTATTATTTCTTACTATCTACTGATTTGTGGTTTGGCTTGATCTTGTTTTTCTAAAAAGTTTGGGATGCCTCATTACTTGTTTGAGATCTCTATGATTTTTTGAAAGTAGGGTTGCTCTGATCCAGTAACTGGAGGAGGGTTAGCCCTGGTTCTGGTACACATCAGGTGCTCATTAAGTGAAGTCTCTTAATTGCTGTCAGAGTTATGGTGGGAATTGATGGAGTTATTTTGGGTGTTGATGGAGTTATAGTGGAAATTGATGGAGTTATGGTGGGAGCTGATGGGGTTATGGTGGGAGCTGATGGAGTCATGGTGGGAGCTGATGGGGTTATGGTGGGAGCTGATGGGGTTATGGTGGGAGCTGATGGAGTTATAGTGGAAATTGATGGGGTTATGGTGGGAGCTGATGGGGTTATGGTGGGAACTGATGGAGTTATGGTGGATGTTGATGGAGTTGTGGTGGGTATTGATGGAGTTATGGAGAGTATTGATGGAGACTGTAACTCTTCTCTTCTCAAACCTGAGAGGGCAGTTCCTTCTTTCAGACCCCCACGTTTCTGAAAAACCAGGGAAAGATTGGCACGGGTGTACAGGGAACTCTTGCGGACAAACAGGTGGGAATAGAAGGGTAGTTGAGGGCCACCCACTGCCTGACATCACAGTGAGTCCACCACCACCTACCTGCCATTCTGTGTTGTATCTCTGCCCTCCTCTGCCTCTGCCCTCTGATTGTGAGGGCCTTTATCTTGGGGTTGGGTATGCTGCAGGTGTGTAGTGTGTCTGTGTTGAAGGGATTGGTCCAGAGATGAGCACCCCAGTTGTATTTTGTGATCTGAATAGACTGTTTTTGTAGTCTCCCACCTGTGTAAAAAGGAGGAGTCTTTCTTGAAATGCTCATTCATTTCCATGGGACCTGTGCCCACATTTGCAAATGACTGACACAGTCCTTGGGAGTAAAAAACAGGCTGTGTATTACCCAGACTTATCTGGTAAGGAGAGAAGATGGGCCTGGTGAGTGGGCAGGGCTGGTGCTGAGCAGAGGAGTGATGTGGGATGTCCTGAGGACCGATCCATTGTTCTAGGATCTGACAAAGTTAGGACAATGTGACTCTCTGGGTGAGGTCACACGTGAGTCTTAAGATTGCAGTAAACTGGGCATGGTGGTGCATGCCTGTAATCTCAAAGTTACCCAGAAGGTGGAGAGAGAAGGATTCTGGGTTGAGGCCTTCTTGGGAAAAAAAGTCGATGAGACTCTATCTCAGAGCACAAGTTGGATATGTGGTTTGTGGCTGTAATCCAAGCCACAAGAGACATATAGGTAGGAGTATTATGGTCTAAAGTTTTTCTGGCAAAAGCATGAGACCATATTTGAAAAATGAACTACAGCCCTAAAAGGGCTGGAACATGGGTCAAGGGAGGGGTACCTGTCTAGCAAGTGTAAGGTCCTGAGTTCAAACCACAGGGCTACCAAAAAAAGGAGTCAGTAAAAGACACATTTTGAACATTATAAGGCCCCCGCATGACTGAAAGGTTTTAATAATAGTTGTCAGTGACCCCAGTTTCCCCTGACGTGTTCCTGGGACATGGATCTTCTAGTTTTGCAGGGTCACAGGACCAGCTGGTCATGCTGACATAGATCATTGGTTCCCTACCAATAACGATGGCAGTTGTTCCTGGCCTCTTGCTGGGAGAAAAGCTCTTGCTAGCGACTCAGGTGACCAAAGTGGACCACTGAGGTGCTTGCCCCCTGGCTGGCAGCTGTTGATTCAGCAGGGAGTTTAACTCAGTGTGGAAATTACTCATTTAGTACTCAGTCCTGTGTCACCTTATTTGGAGCGCTAATTACAGGAAATTTAGAACTTGCTGGCTAGGTGTCTGTATGTAGGGACAGACAGGACACGACACAGCCTGGAAGACTCTGCTCTTCACACGCGACAGGTATGTGAGGAGGCTCAGTCCTGTGAGGTGACAGGTTAAGGTCACCTGTTTCTCCAAGAAGGAAACTGTGACTTGCTGACTTTGGGGGGATCTAATTCTCTGTGGAGAGCTCTTAGGAGCATGACACCCACCCCAGGTAAATACCAGCTCCTCCAGGTGAATCCATACAGACAGAAGATAGAGGAGTGTCACCCAGAGCTGGTGAGAGTGGGTGTCACAGCCAAGGAGCTTGGAGTTTCTCTTTGGGATGATGTTCTAAAACCTGGGGGTGATAAACAGACACATCACTCTGTGAGTAGACCAAGAAACACTGAATTGGATATGGGTCAATTTGATGTATGTGATAGGTATCTTGATACAGTTGTTGCATTCAGTAAAAAAAACTCTTCCCTAAACCAATCCATGGCAACAACTACTTCACCAAACAACGAGAAACACAAATAATCCCAATGAAGATGACCCTCTTCCTCAGACAAGACCCAACATCATTTAGCTGTCATCACCAAAGGTTTCCTCCTTCCTTCAGGTAGGTGGGTAACTTGCAAAGCATGGGTCTCAAATGGGAAATCTTGGCATTGCTCTGGGAGTTGACAAAGGGGACATTTTGCAGCCTCGCCTCAGTCCTATGGAATCAGAGTCTCTGGCGAGGGTGCTTGATCAAGCCGTCCTGTGACTCTGAGTGTGGGCAGGTGACAGAGGGCACAAGATCAGAAGCCTCTGTGTTAGGAATTACTCTTGATTCATTCAGAAGCTGATGGGGGTGGAGGGAAAATACATCAATTCCCCTGGAGCGTAACAGTTTGATTCTTCAGCAAGCTGTCCATGTTGGGTGGGGGACAGGAACTAAATGAAATAAGAAACATCTCACAAGACACCGACTTGTCAAGCCATGGGAAGCATTTTAATGACAGTTGGCATCACAAGTATAAATAAATATCTTCTTTCCATCTATAACATGGGCTACAAATATATTTTTAAAAGTCCAACCCAGGTTATGAGGCATCAAGGACCCCTTCTTAACTACTGATTTTAGTAATAAAAAAATAAAAACAACAGCTATCTATCCCTGGTAACTTTGTGAGTGCCCTGCCTCCTGCTGAGAGCCTTGGGTGCAGCCAGATGTCTCTCTCCCTGTCCCCACACCCCACCCTAGGTGACATACACAGAGCCCTGGGGTTTGGTAATCATGCAGGGTTATTTCCTTCCATTCTGGATGAATTCAATTTGGAGGAATGCATTTTTTTTCAATGTGTGGCTAAAACAGCTATTTTGTTCAAAAACACAGTTGATTGACAGTCTAACATAGACTTTATCTTTTTAGTTTATGCTGGCTACTTACTCCCAAAAAAGCAAAGAGAATAACTTCAACCCTCTCCAAATATTTTTTGCTTTTGTTCATTTTCAGCACTGATTTTGTACTGTGGTCGGCTTGTCCTGCCAGGCTCTGTCATCACTCTTGACCGTTGTCTTTCTTGGATTTGACCAAATCTCTTTGGGTAGGAGTATTCCTACACAAAAGGGATGGCGCCTCCATGTGACCAGGTGGTCCAGGCTGGACTCCACCCTGCTGGTCACATCTTATTAGGACAGCCTGGAACAATGTCTACCCACTGGCTTTGACCCTGTGTTGAGTCACTTGCAGCTCCCTGCCCCTCGCAGGGTGGTCAAGTACCTCCTCCAATGGTTAATAAAAACCAGTAAATACCAGCGAAGCTGGGGGACAGAGAAATGCATTAAAGTCGTGATTTAAAACATGGATTAACTGGGATTTCTAAAAAAAATCACATGAACGAGAATATAATTTCCATTTCGTTTAGAAAAATGTGCCCCTTACTCTTCAGAAATAAACATGGAATATAAACCAAATGGAAGTCTAGAGCCCAAAATATAAATATGGACAAGAAGATTATCAAATTAAAAATTAAAATTCCTTAGTTCTATCCCAAAGAGGTGACCAATATTCAGAAATGTTTCCTCCTGCTGGGTCTTGTAGCACACACCTGTAATCTCAGCACTTAGGGAGGCAGAGGCAGGGGGATTGAAAGTTTAAGGTCAGCCTCAAGCTACAAAGCCAGAGACCCTGTCTCAAAAACAAAATTAAAAAAAAAAAATCTCAAACCACCATATCTCCTCTTCCTTACCCAGGTTGACAAAGGCTGTCCTTAGGAAAGTAAGCACAGAATTGTAATGGAAGGTATCTCTTAGCAAGGCCCTATTTTTACAGTTTGCTCCTTTATTAGAAATATAAACAGATTATTATTTGTCTCTTTTTGTCTTTTTTTGCATTTTTTAACAAATAATTTTTGGTAGCTTGTTTGTATTGTATTTTGATTCATAAAATAACCCTTGTAATTCGACCTGGTGCATCCCAGGATCTTTGTCATCTCCCTGTCTCCCCACAGAGTCAGAAGACCTGACTTCCCCAAATCCACTGTCATGTCATCCACTGCTAAAAATCCCTTGATACAAAAATGTCCCTTCCTAGTTTCAAACCTCCAGCTGGTTTTTCTTGGAGCCCCAGCCCTTCCCCACTCAGCCCCATGGGGAACTCTTCTGTCCTGTTCTGGCCAGTTCCAGAACCAGACTCCACCAAGGGACAGAGAGGTGGGCATCCAGGCTAGGCTGTGGTCTGAGGGCCTATGCCTTGTCTTGGAATTTCTCCAGATAGTTTCTGAGCTCCTTAGGGGCACCCACGTCCAGGTCTTGGCACACCCATTTGATGTCCTCCTCGTTGCCTCCCAGGATGGAGTTCACTGTGGGACAACTGTCATCAGGTGGGATGGTGGTAAAGGTGGCGAACTTGACCTTCTTCCGCTTGGCAGTGGGTGAGTGCAGGGACCCCTGGGAGCCTGCTGGCCTATGCACCTGGCCTGGCACCTGCTTCTGAGAGCTGCCATTGTGGAGCAGGTGGTTGCTCTCATCGCAGCCCCTCAGCCCGCGGTCTATGATGGTGGTGTGCTCGTCCTGGGGCGGTGACACGTCTGCAATGTTTTCCAAGAGCTCAGCCTCATTGCCCAGCCAAACCCAGTCATGGGAGTGGGTCACAGAGGCCTGGCCCTCCAGGGGCACCTGCTTATGTCTGTACTTGAGGACAAAGGTGGCACAGTTGATGAGGAAGACGAGGATGGCCAGGCAGAAGACGCCCAGGAGGGCATACATGCCGATCTCCAGGTCACTCAGGCCCCGGGCAGTCTGCACCAGGTCATTCTCCTGCAGCCCGCCACCGCCAGCCTTGGGGAGGTCCACATGGGTCGGGAAGTTGCTGAAGTCAATCGGGATATTGTGCAGCTGGGCCTCTCCTGACAGCCGGCCCCCGTCCAGCCGGCTGCTCTTCACCACCTTATTGTCTGGCAGTGACTTGACCGTGGTGGTGGCTCTCCGCAGGACGCCTTCCTCACGCTCCAGGGGAGAGCCGCCATGGAAGCGCCCATCCTGGCCTGGGCGCTCCTGGTCCTGCCCCTTCAGCCGCCGGTCACTGGCATGATTCTTGATTTCGTCCTCATGGTCATTCCTGGCTGGGCTGGAGTCAGCATCCTTCTGTCCAAACTTGACCCTGACATTGCTGATACCCATGGCCAGGGTGCTCTTGCGTTTGGATTTCTGGCAGGCCTCTGCAATGGTCATGTCCACTCGGACCAGTGGGCCCTGGCCTTCCCCTTCGGCCACCACAATGGGCCATCTAGGAGAGCGAGCCTGGGGGACTGACACAATGGCTTCATCCAAAGAGGTGGTGGCCAGGGAGAAGTCCTTTGTGTCATAGATGTCCAGGGGAGTCACTGAGCCATCGCTGAACTGTAACCAGATGCTGACCACGGCTTCCTATGGGGAGAGAAGCCATTAGAATCGGGGGGAACACCTCTTCTGTTAGGACCTCATCTCCTACAATGGCACCCAAAGAAACAGAAAGGATGACTGCAAATCCTCACCTTGTGGCTGATGCATCTGGGCAGGAGGTGAGGGAGGAGGGAGGTAGGTTTTATGTCAAATTCAGAGCAAATCACCTAAACTTAAACCATTACAGTTCTGTCATAGGTCATCAGGAAAACAAAGAAAGCAAAAGGGGTTTTCCTGGTCTCCACAGGCAATGGCTGACCTCCTGTTAGACCGTCAGACCTTAGGCGTGCTGCAATAGTCTCTGTAACAAAGGGGTGGTACACGTGGGGGAGGTAAGAGCACTGAAAAGGAACTGCCTGGGCTGGAGGAGAGGCTCAAGTGGTAGAGCGCCTGCCTAGCAAGCATGAGGCCCTGAGTCATGCCCCAAAACAAAAACAAACAAACAAAACCCATAAAAAGGAAACTCCCCTTTCCTCCCTGCTTCTCCAGTGAACTACACCTTGTGAGAGAAACAAAAAAGCAAGCGAGCACATTTTGCCTTTTACACCTGGTCCTGCTGCACCACAGGAGGCCTCTTGTATGACTGTCATGCAGACGGGGTGACAGTCGACCACACCATGTAGGGGGCCTGTTTCAGCTGCACTCTCTGCTCTGCAGGTAGCTTTCCTAGAAAGCGGCACCAGAATGATACACAAAGCCAAGTCTGAATGCAACAAGGTTGAGTTATTGAAAAGACTCAGCATTGTCCGACCAGTGCCCAAGCAGCTTTGTTTCTCACTGTGGGGAAGAGTCAAGAAAGTGTGAGAGCTACAAGCCTGGAAATGACTCCACCCCCTCCTCATTGGCCTGGAGAGTTCTCAGTGAGGGTAGAGTCCCTTGTCCCCACCTCCCCTCACCCAGGGCAATGATGGCTCATGGAAAACGCAGCACCAGGGCATGCTTGGGTCTACTGATCTGGGACCCTCTGCATTGACCCCAGGGTCAGGACTCCCTGGCAATGGACACTGGAAACCAGGTCTTCACACCTGGGACAGAGCCAGGCATCTTTGGGGCAGAGCATTTTCTCCCTGAGTAAGAAGAGAACAAATTTTGTAATTCTAAAAATGGTGGTGGTGGTGGGGAAGCTTACCTCCATTGGCATTTAAGGGTCAGAAACCATCGTCATTCCCCTAAATGACTCTTTTTCACCCAAGAAGTATGATTGGGACTCTGCGCTGCTAACCACTGTGCTTAAGAACTAGGACCAGCCACCAACAGAGCACAGCTGTCAAGCTCTCTGCTCTGCCCCAGGGCACCTGCTGTCTAGCCTCTGCCGTGACCCTCCATTACTGTCTCTGTCACCCCAAAGCCATCACAATCGTGGATGCCTCCCTGGACACTCATTGTGCACGTGGGCTTCAGACCTGCCACTGTAGCCTGAGAGACAGTGGGGCTATCTTCATGCATGGAATTGGAGAGAAGCTGTCACTGGGACAGAGGTGGAGCCAGGCCTTCTGTGTGCTCTTAGCACTGTGTGGAAAATGTCTCCACCTGAAATCAAAAGCCCACACTTGGTCCTGGGCTGATGTGAATCTGCTCAAAGAAGCTAACTTGATCTGGGCCTGGTGTGCCAGAGTGCTGTCATCCCTCTGGATGACAAGGCAAGAAGGTCACAAGTTTGAGGTCAGCTTGGGCTACATAAACAGTCCCCAAAAAAAAGTTAATGTGAAGCTAGACTCATTCAAATATAAAATCACACAAGAACTCCTTGGCAGAAATCGAAGCCAGGCAATCCCAGTGTGCAGCTTCTACCGATAGAAGAAAATTTATGATCCATGTGTGAACAGCATTGGCCATGAGAGAATCCTTAAAAGTTTACCTAGGAGGATGGGCAGGCTGGTATCTGAGATTATGGAAGAACTGGAAAAGATCATGCAATATAACAAACCAACAAAACCAGCAGCTAACAAAATGAAATAGTGCGGGAGAAATTAAAAATAGAAACCTCACTGAAGGAGTAGAAGTGGGTTGAAAGGAAGCAGAGATTTGTGAAGAGCTACAAGGAATTTGTTCCCTTCCCTTCCTTTCCTCCTCCCTTCCCTTCCTCCTCCCTTCCCTTTCTCCTCCCTTCCCTTCCTCCTCCCTTCCCCTTCCTTCTCCCTTTCCTTCTTTTCCCTTCCCTTCCTCCTTCCCTTTTCTTTCTCCTTCCTTCCTCCTCCTTCCCTTCCCTTCCCTCCCCTTCTTGCTTCACCCCTACTCCCTTGCTGTGGTGACTTCACCTAAATAAAGCACTTGCACTAAATCCTTGTCTCAGGCTCAGCTTATGGGGAAACTGATCCTAAGCCAGAGGATGTGACTTGGTGATACTGGTTCCTACCCTTGTCTCTCAAACACCCTATTGCCCTAACACCAGCCAATTCCTTGCCTCGCTTTCTTGTCCTGGCTTTCTTCAGAATAGCCAGGGTACCAGGGAATGCATTTGTTCAGGTTTTGTGTTTCAAAGTTGAAGCTATCACAAACATGGCAGCCACCTTCTGCACTTCAAGAGTGGATATAAAACACTATCAAATTCATCCTGCCTGGGTTTTCATATTGATTCATTCTTCACACACTCGAGATGGAGAAACAAGGCCTCCAGAAACACAGACAGCTGCAAGGAAACTCAGGGAACTCTCAGTTCCCCCAAACCACCTCCAACAGTCCCATTGTGCAACAAGGATCAAGTCCTCCACTAGCTCCTCATGGTGAGGCTGAGCCCCAAGCTTCAGGACAAGCCAACACCTCCCCAAGAAGGGATCTTCGAGTGACCTAAATGATACCTGCCATCTGCAATTTGGTCCTCTCTCCTTGCAGTCAGGCCTGTAAATCCCACGGGCTACAACCATAAATCCCCCAATTACTGTCAGCTGATGAAGACAGATGGGCCATGTCGGAGGTGGGACAGAGGCCTGGCTCTGAGCTGCGGAGGTCGCTATGCCAGTCGTCCACCGTAATGAGTTTGCCCATCCTCAGCAAATAGCTTCCTGCTTTCCTCTGCTCCTTCTACTCTGTTCTTTATAAACAGAAAGCACCACGGGGTTTCCTGCCCCCAGGGGAGAAGGGCAGAGGGGCAGGTAGCACTGTGGGCTGATGTGGCCAGAATTCACTTCAGGTGGCTATGGGACAAAGCTAGGTAAGCAGCTGTCCCCTGTGGCTGGCAGAATTTCTAGAATGACCTTGCAAAGATGCCCAGCTGGAATCCCCAGAGGCTGGGCACATGGAAGCAATGTCTCTCTGATTATATTATATGGCACCGATATGGCGGTGGGCAATGGGGTCACAGCCCTGAAGAGTAGAGATGGCTTCGGCTAGTGGCAGACTTCACGTGCTGCTTCTGGTGCTGAAGGAGACAGGGGTGAGCGGGGAATGAGGAGGAATAGAGGTGGCCGAAGAGACCTCAGCAGGGCTCCTAGACAGTAGCCAGGTAGAAATGGGGACCTTGGTCACAGCCGGTGAGGCTCCCAGATAGTAACCAGCCAGAAACGGGGACCTCAGTCACATACAGTGGGGGGTCTGGATTCTACCAGTAGCACGAATGACCTTGAAAGCAACCTCTCCTCAGAGCGTCCGAATGTGGCGCACAGGGCTCAGCCGAGCACCTGCAGAGCTGTGAGCTGTGACATGGCGCTGTTGAAACTGCTAAGGTGGCGGTATTTTTAGACAGTTGGATAACAGAACGCCCTGTGCCCTAGTGCCACTGCTTCTGGCAGCCACGTGGGTTTTGCGTGGTCTGCATAGCATCATTCATTTACACCCCAGCTCAGCACTGTGAGCCACACCAGGCTGGAAGTGACCTTGTCCCCATGACCTCCCCACTGGACATCTGTGTGCGACCCTGACAGTTAGTTGCTGTCTCCTGTTTCCAGAGCATTCCTCCCTTTAAACACCATCATGCTTCTATCAAGGCTTATTGGGGGACTGTCACCCCCATTATTACCCCCTCGGGCTCTGGTGTCTGTCCTAGCTGCAGTGGGATGACTTTTGACTTGTCCCCTGTCTATGCAGGGACTTAACATCAGCTTCTTCTTTGAAGCACAGCACCTGCCTTGGTGGGGATTCCAAGGTCCTGTGTGCCTGTGCTCAAATGGTGACAATAACAGTGACAGTTGCTCCATGAAAAGAGCTGTCACTGAAAGTATTGCTCCATTCTAGCTTCGGTCTGTAGAGTGTGACAATTAATCCTAATTTAATTCTCAAATGTGAGATTTCATTTCTCCCTCCCTGAGGACAGAGAATCTGGTATCTGGTGCCACCTAGGTAATGAGGGACAGAATGGTGACACTGTGTGACCTGAGAGCCCTGAATCTGTGTTCCTTTTCCTAGGACCCTGGCAGAACGGAGTCCAGCTGAGTAGGGTGTCAAGGTCGGCTGCCTGTGTGGATGCTGTCCCCTTCTCTCTTTCATTGCCCTGGATCCAGCCCCACTCCCAGTCTCCACTCCACAGTACTGAGCACCTACTGTGTGCAGCCAGCCCAGCACTCATCTTCCAGCACTTGCTTTGCAGGGGGGTGGGGGGACACCTGGAGCAAGTGCAGGAACGGAGACTAAGTCCAGATGACGACGGCCATGGGAGAAAGTGAAGCAGGAGCTGGGGACACAGGCGGATCTGGATGTGACAGCGAGGAAGGCACTTGCCACCAGGGACTGTCACAGATGGTCTGAAAGTGGGAGAGCCCAGAGCTGAGGGGACAGCAAGGACAGAACCCTGGAGGAAGCTGAGTGACCAGGGGCGCCTGCAGTGCAGACTGAGAGCTGGGAAGACAGAGGCAGAGATGAGCACCCCCAAATTTCCCATGGGGATGCATGGGCTGTGCAAGGAATGTGGTTCCTTAGGAGCACAAAGTCACTGAGACATGGCCTGACTTATGGTTCCAGAAGCTCGTCTGTCCTGGAGAGGACAGGACAGCAGGGCAGCCATCCCTCTCCCAGGAAGAGCTACAGAAAGGACTCACCTCTGGGCTGATTCCAGAGACTGTGGGTGACGAGCCCGTGTGTCTGCAGGACAGAGCCTCCATCCTGGCCTCTGCCCCTCCTGCCCCTCCACTCCCCCTCTGCTGGACCGGGTGTTGTGGCCACCCTGCTCCTCTGGCTTCTGGTGTCTTAGCCTTACCTGTTTGGGGGCACGCAGTAGCTCCTCCGCTGTGGCCACGGCTGTGATGGCCTTGCTGTTAGGGTGCAGGGTGACGGACAGCCCAGCCACAAGCTGGATGGCCAAGTCAGTCACTGACACTTTGTCATCCAACACGGTCACAGTCTTCTCTGCCAGGATGGAGTCAGACAGTGGGGACAATACCTGTGGGTTTGTGGGACACAAAGAAAAATCTATCACACCTGTTTCCAGATGTTGGAACCTCTTCATCCCCAAACAGGCTGAGGTCTGGAATACAGGGCACAGGAGTCATAGAGAAGTCTATGTGAGAATCAAATCAGCACTCCTTCCCTAAGGTGCTTCCATTCTACCTATTGGAAATTGAAACAAATACCAAAAAACCCATTATTTTTAAAAGGGAATGACCTTGCCATATAGATTGGGCATCCTTGTCCAGTGTGCAACCTGGCTAACTGTACGTGATGATTCTGTTGACCAGACTCAAAAACCGACTCTGCAGCCTGAATCAAATTCTAAGTGAATCACAGGCTCACTGGGAAGAAGTGGATTATTAATAGTTTGCACCTCCAACACCAGCTTCATCTCATAAGCCCAGTGCTGGGCTGGAGGTGTCCAGGTGAGACTGCACTGGCCATTCTAAGATCCAGGACATTCCATAAGGGTGGTGTCAGTCAGGTGGAACGTGAGGAGTGGAGAAAAGGCCACCCAGGCCTCGTCCGCAGTCCCCAAACAACTGTTCTGTATGTTCCTTTGAGTGACAGACAGGCTGCATAACTATGATGACAGTTTGTTGAATGAATAAATGGCAGGACAACACGGTGCCTGGAAGAAAGAATCTGGCTTTCCCTGGTCACTCGGAGGCAAAGGCTGCTCCCAGCAGGTGTGGATGGAATGAATGAGGGGAGAGAGAACCAGTGGGAAGGCGGGAGATGACATGATGGGCACACAGGTGAGAGTGGGATCCCCTGGGGTGCTGGGAAGGCAAGTGGAACTTGGAGAGAGAGCAGGTGCAAGCCCCACGCTGCCCTCTGGAGCCATCATGGGAACAAAGAACTCGTCCTAGTGCCTTGCCCACCCAGGAGCCCCCAGTACCAGGAAGATGCAGAAGTCCCCCAACTCTGTCCTACCTGGATGGTGGTCATCCCAACCTCTCGCCCCACCAGGACCCTGCTGTCCTGCAGAGTAGCCACGTGCGGAGACTCCAACTTCATGAAGTCGGCCACCAGGTGGGTGATGTCAAATTGCCAGTCAGGACTGAGCAGGTGGCTGGGCTGGCCCCAGGGCCTGCCCCCCTCGGACACAAACTGGGTGAGGACCCGCACGGTGGCGTGTTGGAACTGCAGGGTGCAGCCCCGGCCCCGCTGCTCCTCCTCCTCCTCCTCCTCGCTGTCCCTCGTGGGCCTGGGGGAAGGAAGCATCTGCGAGTCAGCGCTGGACAGGGTGGAGCCCCAGATCCATCACTGGGCACTGCAAAGAGCCGGGCACCTCTTTGAAGACTGAAGAGCTAATATTTTTCCCATAAGAAGCTTTTAAATTCTTATTAATTTAACTTTTAAATTAAATAAATGAATACCTCAATTTCTCAGCTGCCCATGTGCCAGTGGCTTCCACACTGGACAGGATGTTCTACTGGATAGAGCTCTATCTCGCTTTTTAAACTTTTGACAGTACTGGGATTTGAACTTAGGGCCTTGTGCTTGCTAGGCAGGTGTTCTGCCACACCTCCAGCCCTCCCCTCCTCCTTTTTTTTTTTTGCTTTAGTTATATTTTGGATAGGGTCTTGAATTTTTGCTTGAGCCAGGCAGGATCTTGATTGTCCTACCTATGCCTCCAGTGTAGCTGGGATTACAGAGTGCGATGCAATGCCCAACTTTTGGGTTGAGAGGGGGTCTTGCTAACTTTTTGCCCAGGCCAGCTTTGTCTCTTGCTCCTTCTAATATCTGTTTCCCAAGTAGCTGAGATTGCAGGTGAGTGCCATGATGCCTGGCCTTATATTACATTCTCAAGATTGGGCCAAGTCCCACTCTGAGCCTCCACACGCCAAAAGTCTCTTAGTTACACAGCACTATAAGAAAACCTATTGCTCTCATGTCCAGATGTGGAAACTGAGGCAGGAAGGGCTGAGGTGTTGTCTCCCTCAAGCTTACAAAACTGGTAAGTGGCAGAGAGTAGGAGGGAGCCCAGTGACTCCATGGCTGTTCCTCTGGGAATGTGAGCTACAAAAGATGTATTATGGTTTGCCCTGTCACTTTGGTAGAGTCACTTTCAAGAGACAGCCTGGTACAAGCAAGAGGACAGCTTCCGTTTTACACCAACCTGCTGCTTGTGAGCCTGGCTGGGTGACCGCAAGACATTGGCCTGGACAGAGGGCTGCTGTTAGAATTAGGAGATAGAATGGCTGTGTGGACGTCGGTACCCACCGCGTGCCCAGTTCTGCCCTGGCCCCTTCAGTGTCAAGGTCAGTAAAGAAAGTGCTATGGTGGCTCTGGAGCCTCGCCCCAATCCAGGCTCACCTCTTGCTGGCCACGATGGGGACCCGCCAGCCCTTAATCTGGCTGAGCTCTGTGTCGGAGACCTCGATCTGCAGGGGCAGCCGGGGCACCCACACCGTGATGTGCAGGGGTGCGCTTAGGTACTGGTATGTGAAATTCACTGCAGCGTCCACCTTGCCTTTTATCTCCTTGCCATTGACAAAGACGTAGTCACAGCGGTCAGACACCTGCAGGGACAGAGGGAGAGGGGATGGAGACGCTCACAGGGGTTTGATATGTTTTCTTAAGACGTGTATATGGGGCAGTTGGTTTAATGACGAAGTGTCCCCAGTGGGCAGGGGTGGGTGAGCAGACTCGGGAAGGCAGAAGGAGAAGAAGCTTTGTCCTCCCAAGGGGTAAGAGATGGAATATTGTCTACCAGCTTCTGTCCCCACAGCTTGAGGTGAGCCCTTGGAATCAAAAAGTGAACTTGAAACCTGCTGAGGTTATTTTCAGAAGGGGAATGAGGTAGGAGGAGAGTAATGGGGGGATGAACCAAAGCAGGGTCTGATAGATGTATATCTGGAAATGTTGCAACAAAAGCCCCTGTACAACTACCACATGCTAATAAAATGCTTTTTAAAAAGTGAATTTGAACTTTAACTGTGGCTGTGGCTGAGTTCTGGGTGAGCCAAGGGATTGTGACGTGGACACTAGAGTGTCTGCTGACTCTTGCTCAGGGGGCGGGCAGTACCATGTCCCACCTGTCCTGTCCGGCCTCCTGGCATCCCCGGGGCCATAGTAGCTGCTTGGAAGTATGAGTACTGTCATGGTTCCCACACAACCTCCTCTGCTGGTACACAGTCCCCCACGGTCCATCCCCGATTGCCTGGCCTGGCCCAGATCCAGTGTTCCTGTGACATCATCCCGTGAGCCCTGGGGTGGTTATATTGTGGGGCTCATTTTGTGAGTAGTGGAACCACATTGGTCACTATCAGCCCGTGGTCCTCCCTCTCCTTGTTGCTAAAAGGGAAAATCGGGAGGGGGTCACAAACATACACATGAAGAAGACAAAAATCAAAGTTGGTGTCAAGACCACCCATTCAAACCCTAGTCCATACACATGGTCACACCCAGCGTGGCCAGGAGAGATGCCCGTGCTCTCAGACAGACAGAATGGGACCACGCGAGCAATCATCAGTGCCAACGCAGATGTCACTGTGTGTGTAACTCTGGAACCGAGAGCAGAACACTAGGAGAGCAGCTGTCCCCCCACCAGTCCTTTGTTAAGAGTGACATCCTTCCCCTACCAGACTGGGATTCTGTTTCTGCCATCCTAATGAATTGGAAACTGAAAATAGAAACCAAGTTCAGTTATAGAGAGAATAAGATGACCTGTGTTGCATAGCCAAGGTTATAGGATGTGATTTAAATTGGCCCCATGTGCTGTATCTCCTCCAAACTGTGACATCCTCGAAAGCAAAAAGTACAGTGTACCCATCTCTGATTCCTTGTGTCCTTACACCAGCTGCTCAGGAAGTAGAACTCAGCAGAGTGGATACTGGATGGATGGAAGGGTGCACAGGTGGATGTGTTGGGTGGGTGGGTGGATGGGTGAGAAGTGGGTATATGTACGTGCAGATGGATAAATGGATGAATGGATGGAAGGATAAATGATGTATTGATAGAGCAGTACATATATGTATGCATGGGTGGATGTATGGATAGATGGATGGATAGATGGATGGATGGATGGATGGAGACATAAACAGATGGGTGGACAGATGGATGGATGGATGAAAGGACAAACATTAATAGGTAGATGGATGGATGGAAGTATGGATGGATGGATGGATGGATAGAGAGATTAACAGATGGGTGGACAGATGGATGCATGAAAGGACAAACAGATAGGTGAGTGGGTAGGTGGGTAGACAGAGGGATGAACAGTGTCCTCCTTCATGAGAATGCCTGCTTTGGGACCACCATCAAGGATTTTGGGATGGAGGGGCAAGGCAGTGAAAGACTGAGGTGAGATGGAGCCAAAACAGTGGATATGTAAGAAGTTCACTTGAAAGCTGCTGGCAATGACCTTTCAGGGTCATTGACTCCTGAGAACACACATAAAGCTAATTCTTCCTAGGGAACCACAGGTAGCCCAGCTCAGCTCACCAGTGCAGAGTTACTGAAGTCACCTGCACAGCACTCACCATACTGAGCTCCAATTGTGCTGATCTGTGTCCTAGATCGTGTCCTCTGGAAGAGGCAGAGTCCCTTCTGGGGGTCTGTGGACCCAACCATATAACAACCAGTGCTGAACAATGAATTCTTGTGACAGGTCTCCCTCTCCTTCCCCGGCTTCCAAGACAATAGATGGCCACTGTGGGTCCATTTTCATCCTGCACTCATACCTCTGTTTGCAGGGGCAGCTGGTGAGGGCTGGGCTGAGAGCATTCCGCCATCTGCTGGGGACAATGGTGCGGAGCAGTTGGACACATGGATGTGCCTTCTCACTCAGGGTCAAGAGTAGTTTAAAAACATTTCGGTGCTGATTAAGGATGGAAGCCAATTTCAACCTCTGTCCCAGACTTGTCATTAGCGACTAAACACTGTCCGGATCTGGGAAGGTATCAGCATAATAGCCAAGCAAGAGTTATATCAGTAATCACTTCCTTAATCAATGTTGTAATTTACAGGCCATTGACTCTTCTCATTTATTAGCTCCAAGCATGGGTGGGAGGGAACCTAGCTGCTCCAGAATATATAAATAATTCAGGGGAGTGCCACAGGCGTGAAGTTGCTGTGCAAGATAGAACCATTGTCCCTGCTGCTCCTGACCGTGTCATAAACGTCGGGGAAGTCTTGGGATGTATCAATCACATCCTAAGTGGCTAGCAGTGTGAACCAGCGTATCACAAAATGAGCCGGCTCTTCTACAAGAAGGAACCCAGAGCCTACAGGGATCTTTTTAGTTCCCGGTCTTCGTTTCTTGGAATCATTTCGTCTTGCACTCTGGGCAGATTGCTCACTGGACTCTGCTCACTCTGACGTGTGAGCCATGCAGGCTGAGCGCCTGGTGAATGCTGGACCAGCCTTCGCATCTGTCCACAAGGCTCTGGAGGCCAGGGTAGACATGGAGGTTCTGGTTGGGCAGCAGATGGGCAATTCCCATATTCTGTTTCTTAGGGTTGGCATTTCGTGATGACATCACTGACCTCCTGGGGGAGAGTTGGGGACTAGCTCCCACGAAGAAAACAGAGGTATCTCTGGTCAACCAGGGAGGTCCAGGGAACTTTCTCTGACCCTCAGAGAACCTCAGGAAGGGCTGAGGGCAAGCAGCCTGCCTCACCCTCAGGAAGGCTGCAGTGGGCTCACACTTGCATGAATATTCAATTACTGTCTGACACCAAGGTTGCTAGCATGGGCCTCATTGTGAGACTGTGAGGCTGCCCAGTCTTCTATGTCCACACCACGTTATAAGAGCTTCTTGTTATTATAATCATTTAATTGCTGTGCTTAAGCACCATGCCTGAGTTAAGCATCCTCCAAATCCTATCTCTGAGTATCTGCACTTGGTTCTTGGCCTCATTCTTTCATCACTGGGGAGCCAGGGCTGCATCTGAATTCAGTTCAGGCATAGTGAATCAGGTTGGTACACCTGGTGCACCCTGGTTTCTGCACATGCTCTGTTCACATCTAAGGGCAGATGCACCATGAATGTTCACCCCAGGTTTATATCTGCCACAGGCCTTCCTGTCACTGTCACACTGAGCCCCTTCCGGAGCTCTGGGCAGTAATGATGCCATGCAGAGGAGAAGAGTGAGGCCCTGAGGCTCACAGCTTGTCCACAGTGGGGGAGTCCTCAGATCTGCGTGTGACCATTAGTTTAGGGTCCAATCAGATGCTTTCAACTCTGTACTTTTAACAGGTTTAGTGTGGGATTATGGCCTTGGCTAATATGGCCCTTTTGCTATATACCTCTTTGGGTTACTTCCACTGCTTTGGCAGAGGTGCAGGAAGAGGAAGGTGGCAAGACAGGCTATGCCCCTGGCCAGCAGCTTGGACATTGACCAAGGCCAGGAAGCACTGGCACTCTAGGACCTTTCCTCAGGCTTCCAAGGCCTTTCCTTGGGCCTGGCCCAGATGAAGCTGCTCAGAAGGTGAGGCATGGAACAGATGTCAGGTGAGCATGGCAGGGGAGGAGACCAAAGGACAAGGACTGTAGTTGGCCTTCGAGGGCAGTAAAAGTCAGGCTGGAGGTGCCAAGGCCCCCAGCAGGATACCTGCCCCACTGAATGCCTCCAGTGTGTTCCACACCCACATCTCCCAGAGCTGAGCGCCAGGATGTAGCAGGAAGCTACCAGGTGCTGCCAGGAGCTGCTGCCCTGAATTTGAGTGACAGGGTGGGTGGAATCATGTCTTGGTGAGGGGCCTGGGGCAGAAGAACAACTGATGCACCCCACAGGCTTCTCTTGTTCTCATCATACCCCATGAGCTGGGTTGTACCTTTTTTATTTTTTTGCAGTGCTGGGGATGTACCCAGGGTCTTGCACATGTCAGACAAGCCCTCTGCCACTGAGCCACAGCCCCTGCCCTCTCAGGCATCTCTCATTGGAGCATGACATGGCCTGAGCTGGTCTCAGCCTCCCTGGTCGGCCATCACATGCAACCTTGATCTCCTTCTCACCTTCCTCCTCCTCGGGGTGGGGCTGGAGCCCTGCGCCTGGGTCTCGGTGGGAAGAGGGGAGACTCAGGGCATGTGGGAAACCTCCCTGCTCTTGTTCTGAGTGGCCCCACTTTGAGTGACCTTTGCTGAACCTGACTTTGGGTCACTAGCTGATACACACTTTCCTTCCTCTGCCAGCCCTCTGGTCTGCACCCCAGGGACCTTCCAGCTTCTCTTGTAGCATAAGCTCCACTTGCTTTCCCTGTGTGGCTGCCTGGCATAAATTCTACATTTTCAGGAGGCCTCTGCCATTTCAGCAGCTATTGACATCTCAGGAAAGAGGGACAGAGAAGGCGTAGGGAAAGTCAGGGGTGAGCAATAGTTCCCAGATGAGGCTCTGGTCCTCCTTCCCCTTACGTCTTGTCCCTTACCATGACAGCCAACAGGACTTAAATGGCTGGAAGATGTGACAAGTCACACTTTCTCCAGCTAACACGGCAAATGCTGCTGAGACCCAGAAACGGTGTATGACTCTCAGTGCAGCCTGATGTCCACTTGGGGTTGGCAGTGTTGGGTGACTGCCCAGCTGTGCTCAGGAGAAGGTGGGGACAATGCTAGCTGTTGTTTACTTGGGGTGGCGTCATGACAGGACTGCTGGGTGGAGTGTGGGGCCCAGAGAAAGACCTGACAAAGGGACACACACCTGGGGTGGGCTTCAAATGTCAGGGTTTGGAGCACAGAGTTGAGTTTCCTTTAGAGTTTCTGCACATTGACTCCTTTCCTCATCACACAAACCATTTCACAATTTGGAAACAGAAGCACAGACAGGGTCAAATGTCTAAGACCCCACAGACAAGTAGGAGTTGGAGCAACCATCTGTGATCCATTTTGAGGGCTGTAGGTGGTGAGGGATGGGGATCTAGTTTCGTTCTTTCCCGTGTGGACTTCCACACTTCTGTCAGTCTTCCAGGCACTGCTGACCGAAGACAGTGGCCTTTCCGCAGTGTGTGACCTCGGGGCCTCTCTGAGCATAAAGGCATGAGTTTATTTCTCAGTAATCGACTGAGCTCTTTAGACCTGTGTGTTTATTTTTACGTTAGTACCATGCAGTTCAGTTACTACAGCTTTGTAGTATATTTTGAAGTCGGGCAGGCAGTGCGATACACTCAGCTTCATTCTTTGGCTCAAGATTGCGTGAGCTGTCCAGAGTCAGTTTTTGTTCCACACGAGTTGTAGGGTTTTAGTTTATTTTTTTCTATTTCCGTGAACTCTGACATTGGCTTTTTGACAGGATGACAGTGAATTCAGACATCACTTTGCGTGGCACAGGCGTTTTAACAATGTGAACCACTCACGTTCACGAACACGGGGCGTTTCCATTTGTTTGGGTCACCTTTGACAAATGTCATCAGCGTCTTATAGTTATCAGGTAGAGAGATCTTTCACCTCCTCAGGGAAATTCTTTCCCAGGTCTAGAAAAGCTCAACTTAGCCTCTCTCTCACGCTGTGTGAGGGCGGAGGCAGCAGTAAGTAAACCCAGGGCGTTGGTGGTATAGGTCAGAGAGGGGTGTGTGGGGTGGGGAAGACCAGCACGGGGATTTTAGCCCAGTACCATTGCAACCCCGAGGCCAGCAGAAACCTGGCCCGGCAGGTAGGACTCTGGAAGGTCAGGCAGCTCAGGGAGTGGACAGGAAGCTTGAGGAGGAAGGTGGGGGAGACGCTTCCAGAATGACCGTGTCACTACAATTTGACCACTGGGCACCTGTGGGTTTTCCTCCCACAGCTGTGACCTGGGTCACCCCCTCCTGAACCTGCTTGCTTTCTTCCTGATGATGCAATGCAAGATTCCAGAGTCCTGGGGTCCTGGGCACAGGGCATGAGGCATGGCACAGCATATCCGCTGATGGGCTCTGTGGCCCTCACAGCTTCCCTTTGAACCTCCAGGCTCAGAAGTGCTTCTGGGAGAGAGGTTGATGGTACCAGCAGCTGCCGCTGTCACCTGCATGCTCTGTGCTCACCTGAGCTCTTTCCTGGGAGGAAAGGGACCCAGCCACAGGGAAGCTGCAGGCAGCAGGGGAGGGGCATGACCACAAGCGATGACACAAGAGTTTGGGCAAGAATGGCCCCTGACTGTCTTTATGCGGAGCACAAAGGACAGAGGTCAGACTGGGAACCCCATGAATCTGAGCTTGAGCTGTCACAAGGCTGGGCTAGGGTGTTCATCTTATTTCTGGGTTAAGTGGCAAGAGGACGGACACAAGAGGCACCTCTGGCTGCCCCGCTCAGCACCCCCCACGCTCAGTCCTTCCTCACACTGTCCGCCTGCCCCATCCTTTCCTTCTAGCACCTCCCAAATCTGCAGGTGCCTCTGCAGCAGCTTGGCTTTGGAGTCAGATCTGCCCCATCTGCTCCTGGCCTGTGCTGGGCTCATCCCTGACCACCATCCCAGCTATGGGTCCCAGTGTAGAGCCTGAAAATGGCACACATGGGCAATGAGTTGGCAGTCCATCTCCTGTGATCCCAAGTGGTACACAGGATCAGAACACAGGAGCCACCTCCCTCCAGAGCAGCCTTGCTCTTCCCTGAACATTTTTCTCCCAGATTTAGTATTCATTTCACAATCTTGGGATGGTGGCCTGGAGGCCAGAGAGGCTGTGCTGGAAATTGCACTGGTGATCTTTCCCCATGCATGATTAAAGTCTTGAATTCCCATCCCATCCACACCTGAGTGGAGCAACCTGGGGATGAGGAGCCTCCCAGGAGCTCAGGCCGCTGGTGTAGGAAATGCTGACACACTGGCTGTTCTTCTGTTCTTTGTCTGTGACCCCAGAGACTTCTGCCAGCAGCCACAGAACCACGATAGGGTGACTCTTGAAAAAAGTAAGCCACTAAATCCTAAATTTCCTGGGCCTGCCACCGAGTGGAACCCAATTAAAGGTGAGCCAAATCCCCAGCTCCTACCCACAGTGTGCTGAGTGACACCAACTAGCTCTGCAAGTGCCACTCACCTGGTCAGACCAGAGCCCCAGCCAGCCTGGGCCCCGGGGTTGCGCCCATCCATCCACACAAACCCTGAAACCTGCCTGCTCTATACCCTCCCACCCGCCGATGTCCTGTCAGGAGTGGGGTGTTCCCACCAGATGCATTTCAGAGGGAAATTTCCAGTATGAATACACTTACTTCTCCAAGGATGTTGATTTTATTTCTGGAAATATTAGCAAAGTCATTTACAAGGAACTAAGGGTTGCTCGGTGTACAGCTGTGATGAAATGTGTTCCTGAGTTTGGGATTTTTCCTGCAGGTAGAAGAACCAGGGCTCTCACCTCTAGGAAACCAATCAGTACCAGAGAAACCCCCTCAAAATCAAAGGAGGGTTCAAACCTTTGAGCAACAGCTTCCACAAACCCTCCCCGAGTCTCTGGTCACTGTTCTTCCATGGTCTTCTATGAATTCAACGCAGAAAAAGTTCAAGACCTATTTCACCTGCAGACCACAGTTAATGACTGTGTGTTATAGTTTGAAACATTTCTGAAGGAGATTTTAAGTGCACTCACCACAAAGAAACGTAAGTGTGTGAGCAAATATGTATGTTACGTAGCTCCACAGAGCCAGCCCACAGGTATATGCCTTTTGAAACAATGTATCACACATGGTAAATATGTAATTTTAATATGCCAATTAAGTAAATATAGAAGGAGGGAGGAAGGAAAGGAGGAAGGGAAGGAGGGAGGAGGAAAGAAGGGAGGGAAGGACGGAGGAAAGAAGGAGGGAAGGAGGGAGGAGGGAGGGAGGAGGGAGAGAAGGAGGGAGGAAGGAGGGAAAGAGGGAAGGAAGGAAAGAAGGAAGGAAGGAGGGAGGAAGGGAAGGAAAGAGGAAAAGAGGGAAGGAGGGAAGAAAGGAAGGAAGAGGGACAACTACATGGGCATATATAAGAGTGAAGGGACAGAAACGGAGAGTTGAGTGGCTGTGGAAAGTGCACTCTGAAGGCTGTCATTTGACCTCTTCTTTCTGCCCAAGCTCTGCCAGTCAATGGGTGGCCAAGTGCATCCACACCAGGTCCTCGGCTGGCTGTCGAGTCACCTACCTTGATGACGTCCTCATCTGTGGACTTGCACTCCACCAGCTCTGAGATGTCCCTGACTGTGCTGTTCTCCTCCACAGAGACCACCCTGATGGGCACGGCCACAGGCTTCCCAGTGAGGATGGCCGTGTTCAGGAGTTCCGTGTCCTGCCGAAGAAGCAGACACATGGGGTCAAGGCGACATCTGATTCTGCAGGATCCCAGGTGGTTTTCAGGGGGAGGGGTGTGCTCCTGAGATGGGTACCAGGCTGCCCTTTCTTAGATGAGACACTTGGCAACTTTTACCTTAGAAACTAAAATCACAAGGGTCATTCTTCTGAACAAAGTCCTGAGAACATGTGACAATTTACTTTTGGTTCAATTGTAATAAAAAATACTTATTTTCTTTCTGTATCGTAGTGACAAAGCAGAAGTTATGCACTGGGTAAGTTTAGTTGTAAGCTACAGAAACTAACTCTGGGAACCTTGAGCAAGAAGTACTGGGCTAGGTTGATTAACACCCTTCCCTGACCTGCACAGGATGCCATGCTGTGGTCCCCAGAGTCTTTGAACATGTCACCTATGTGGTCAGAGGGACTTTGCAGATGGGCTGATACCCACAACCTTCACCTTGGATCACCTGGGTAGGTTCAGAGATGGAGAAGGCTTCCTGAGGACAGGAAAGGCAAAGGGCAGCTCTTCCCCCAGATCCCCCAGGGGGCTGATGACACCTTGACTCTAGCCCTCAGGCTCAGGTCAGACCTCCACCCATAAGAGGATGCACTTGTGTGAACCTGGGACAGCCGTACAGGGAGTGAATGCAGATGCATGCTGGGTAATCGTGGGCATCTCACAGGGCAGCTAACAGATCACTGAGGAAGGCTGTGCAAAAGGAGACCTAGGTCACCTCTGAGGACAGGAAAAATGCTGGCTCTTCAGAGAGAGGGAGAGAAGGTTTTCCACCATGTGCTGTGTCACCCTGCCTAAGAGTTAATGTCACAGGTGGGAGGGTCTGACGGCTCTCGCTGGGCTCAGGCCCTCATCTACCTTTCTGAGGACGATTGGTCCTTTGACTAAGGAGACTGCAAGTAGGATTCCACAGAAAGAAGGCAGCTCAAAAGTTAGAACCACGATATCGGAAGAAAATAGAATAGAGTGAGATCCCTGCTGTGCAAGCAAAAGACGTCCACCACAGGACCTCACAGGAAGAGTCTCCTCTCTGCCCCTTCCCTCCTGGGCACAGCAGCTGTGGACATAGAGGCAGCCCCCATCTGAAATCCCAGTGGACAGAGCCTGGGGCCTCATAGAGCCCTACTTTTTCTTTTTCCTTCTATCTCTGTTCCCTCCCTCCATAATCAGGGAACTGATCGATTTTGATGAAGAGAATCAATAACACAGGGTACTTTAAAACATTGTTATTTCATAACAATGAAATTGTTATGAAAGCCAGAGGCTCCTGAAAAAACCCACTTTGACCTCATGAATGGACATTGCTCTGTCCCTTCCTAGACAAAATGTATTTTAAATTTTTAAATAACTAAAGCACATAGAGTTACTTCTAGAGTGTGAAGTGGTTAAGACCTAGGGCATTTATCCCAGGGGGCCTGGGGAAGAGTCCTTGGGTACCCCAGAAGGGAGGAAGGAGTGGGTGTTAAGATGTATGCAGTGGATTATGGCTCAGCCCTGAAAAGGAAGGCAGCTCTGACATGTGCTCCTGTGTGGATGAAGCAGGAAACGGTTTTTTTAAGTGAGAAAAGTGAGATACAGAAGGAGAGCAGAGACGAGGATGGGTTCCCTTCATAGATGGCTCCAGAACAGCGTTATACGTGCAAACAGAAGCTGATCAGGTGCCTGATCAGGGGCTGGTGGAGGATGAGCGGCTGCAGATGGGTGCGGGTCCCTTTTCTGGTGATGGGAAGGTTTTAAAATTGGATGAGGGGGGGTGCGGCGCTAGAGAACCACACAAGTTTGCCCTTCCAAGTTCAAGTCGTGGGAAAGTAAAGGTAACCAACAGGCCAGAGTAACTCCATTTTGTTACCTGGGCATCATTTTGTGCAGGCTACTGCCTAGCATTGCTTATGATTTTCAGACAAGAACCAGCCAGTGACTGCTCTGTTGTGTTCTGAGAAGCTGCAGTACGCCGAGACTTAGCAATCCAAACTCTACCCTGGACAGCGAGTGGTCTAATCGGGATAACCACTCCACCATCTGCCAAAGAGATCAACGACTGCCTGCTGTTCTACTCCCCACCTGCATTCCTACAACCTCCACCTTACAAAAGCCCTTACAAACTCACACCAATTACCCCACACTGCCTGCAGTGTCTGGCCCCTTTCCTCCCTGTCTCTGCTTTCACTCGGACCTTTGTGAAGTCTTTCACACTCCACGTATTGGTGACATGACTGGGACCTAGGAATTATATATAAAAAAGGAAAGGGAGGAGAGGAGAGGAGAGGAGAGGAGAGGAGAGGAGAGGAGAGGAGAGGAGAGGAGAGGAGAGGAGAGGAGAGGAGAGGAAAGGAAAGGAAAGGAAAGGAAAGGAAAGGAAAGGAAAGGAAAGGAAAGGAAAGGAAAGGGGAGAACGGACTGTGGGCAAGAAGATAGAGCCATGGAAGAACCTTGGCCAACTTGGGACCCGGCTTGGACCCCAGCTGGTTATGAGGCCTGTGACAAGCTGCCCGATCCACCTATGGGCAGATGGCTCCCCTTAGAAACTGAGCAAAGAGCAAACGGGTCTAAGACAGAGGTCAGATGCTGGGCTACAATTCATTCACAAAGCAGTTAGCGATGTAACCCCCAGTGCACACATGGGGAAACCAAGGCATAGATAGGGCTGGGCGAGTGGTCAGGAGTGAGGCTCTGAGACAGAACCTTCAACCCTGGCTCTGCCTTTTCTGACCATTCTGAGAATCTTCCAAGGGTCAGTTTCCCTGACGGTGAACTTGGGAACTGATGAGGGCCACTGTGGAGATCAAATCAGGTAATGCTCCTGGATCTCCTGTCAGGACTTGGACCAGAGTCCAGAGGACTGGACAGGCAGCCACTGAGTATAAATATGGAGCACCTGGTGTAGGGTGCTTGCACTCGAATCTCTTTTCTCTGGACACAGAGGCTGTGCAGGAAGGAACAGAGAACAAAGGCAGGCTAGTGATAGGCACGATGGATGAGATAACACATGCATTTAGCTGTTTGGGTTTTCTCAGATTTTTTTCCTGTAAAAAAGAGAAAGCACATCTGAAAGCTTTGAAATCTGTCTTGTTTTCCAATCTTGGTCCTTTTTGTCCCTCTCCAGAGCCACCACCCTTGGGAACTTTGTGTAGGGGGGATGAAGTGGGGAGTCGGGACAGCTCAGCTGTCCAGCAAGGCGGACAGCTTGGGCAGTTGCAATAGGAGAAGCAGAGATCACCAACACAGCTTAATTTGCAGACTGGAGGATTTACCCTGAGACGGTGGCACTTCACGTCCCTGCCCAAGGCCTCCTGGTTACAGTAGTTCTGGGTGCCCGTTGGCCAGGGCACTGGAAGCAAGGGCTCAGGATTCAGCTTATGGTGCATCTTCTCACGAGCTCATGAACTGTGGAGTGCAACCTCAACTTGCACAACCAATGAGAAAGACAACTGCGCACAGGTGCTGGAGGGGCGTCTGCTCACTGTGTGCCCATAGTGCAATTTTCCTATAACTGGGCCAGTGCTGACACTGGCTCTGCCATGTGGTGTGGTCTATTGGGCCTTCTTACCTTGTTAGCAGCTGGCTTGAGTGGCAGGCAGGCGGCACGGACCAGATGGACCTATTATTTAACCACACATGTCACCACCTTGTCTCCCTTTCCTACTGAAGCCATCCCCCAAGGTTCCCATGACTTTTCAGTAGAAGTGATTTAAACAACACCCAGGAAGACATGCATAGCATGGTAGGGAAAATACCTCACCATCCTTTCCTCTGCGGTTGCTTTTGTAGGAGCAGCTGGAGCCCTGGGTGGCAAAGCCCAGAAGGGGAAGGGGGAGAAAAGACCTTCCCACAGGACACAAGAGAAAAGACCTTGCCTGTGGCTGCGTCCATGGCCCAAGCACACAGCCATATGCCCACCTCTCCTGTGTCCAGTTTGCCTGGGACTCTGCACAGAGCAATGGTAGACCGATCGGGATCCAAGTCTAAAATCTTAGAGCGTCGCAGAGAGAAGTGGGATGCGTGAGGGGGCTGAGTGGGAGCAGCTTCCGCACTTCTCCCAGGGTTCCCAGGAAAGGTCACAGATCACCTGCCCAGCTGTGGTCATTGGGCACATACATACAATGTTGCAGGCGGTCATCCCTCGCTCACACAGCAACAGTAATAATGGAAATAATTGATACTTTCATCTGTGTTACTTTTGAACAGCTTCTCAAAAAAAAGTGCAGTCCAAAATGAGGGACTTTAACCACAGACTTTTATTGTCCCTCAGTTCCGGAAGCAGGAAGTCTGAAAACCTGGGTGGTGGGGCGGAGTCCTCCCTGTCCTTCCTGTCCTGCCCCAGGCCTCGCCCTGCTGTTCCTTGGCTGTACACATATGACTCCCCTGCACCTGTCACCGCATAGCCTCCTCTGTGTCTGTGTCCACACCTCCCTCTCTTTAGGACAGCAGACATTTGCTTGGGACGCACACCCAGAGCTTCCTCAGAACCTGACCATGTCTGTGGAGACCCAAGGTCAGATCCACAGGTTCTGGCAATTAGGACTTCTGTGCATCTTCTGGGGAGGAGACATGATTCAAACTGTAAGAAGGTCTTTTCATCCTCTGCAGAGGACTTGCACATGAATTTGACAGTCAACATGGCTCAGTAGGAAGGTCAATGTTGCCACCATGGGGAAAACTGAGTCCTAGCCCCTCGAGTCACCTGACAGCAGCCAGGCCACCCAGTGAGCTCTCCCTTTGTATGAAATGGTCCCTGAGCTGGAGCTGAGTTAACTTGTTAGCACAGTCTTGGTAATGGATAGTGAGACACCAATCTGCTATGGGCTGTGAACATTTAAGTAGGAGTTTTTGTGTGGCCAGCGCCTCTCATTTCTCTTGGGGATAGGACCGAGATTGCCAAAGATCCTTTTTAAAGACAGGTGGCTACACAGGCTTCTCCAGGGTGAGTTACCCTCCTTTAAGTCCTCACTACTGACATCAGAATAATTCTGTGCACTGTG